TTAAGAAGATGAAGGTGGTGTAAACACATCGGGTGGGACAGAATCACATTCAGAGAGCTCCACGCAGTTGGAGGAAGAAGCTAAAGCTAATGATCTGGCAGCAAGGACACAGCCCACACAGCACCCCCACACAGCCAGTGAGTCACGCTCACACATCGATGCTACAAGAACAACCTCGGAGTCTCCTTTTGTTCCTCAGCTAAGGTCAGTGCATCCTCTGCCTTCTGTGCTTCCTTCCAGGTCTGCAAAGTGCATCTTTCCCCTTAAACCTGGGATCCATTAGTGGCTCTGAGGTTTCACAATAATCACTTTCACCCTTCACCATAGCTTGTGTTAATTATGTACAAGCTACATGCTTTAGCTTCCCTCACTGACAATTTTTGTTTTGTTTGCTTCACAGAGATGTGTACCCATGGAAACGACAGGCAGCTCTTTCAGCTCTTTAGGGGGATTCCTCATTCATCAGTTTGCAACGATACGAGCTCGCGTTTCCTGTTCCTGTCTGGGATTTTGATTCCCCTCGCTAATAAACTGATGACTGCATCTCCAGCTCTTTCCAAAGATCCTTTCTTCTAATCATGCAATGGGATATCTGCAATTGGAGGGGAAGGGCCTCTTTTCACAATGCCTGTTATTGTAACCGCTGATGATTGGACTGCGATCCACCATTAAGAGCGACTCGGTCCCTGTGTGGGTGGGCGGTGTGTCCAGAAATTCAAAACCAACCATCAGCGAGCTCTTTAAAGGGAAGCCGAGCTCACTGATAAGGCAGTGTGGAACAAAAAGGTTGGTTTCTTCTAAATGTTCTTAGTATTGCTTCTCGTGTACATAAACAGTCAAAAGACTAGCATGACATTTACTTTTGGAAAAAGCATGAATAGAATAAATTATAAATATAAATTATATAAACTATACATATCCAGTGTCCACTTTAAATTGCCCAGACTGCATCATCACGGTTAGGAAACAATCATAGGCAGTAACCTCCAGCTTCAAATCCGACACAAACAGAAAACGACACAAACAATCCGAACATGACGAGTTCTCATCCAAGTGCTCAAAGCGGAAACGCACACGGGGCTCAAAGAAACATCTGCAGGTGTGAAAGCTCCGACTTTAAGGCTTGTTCACTGACCTTTCCCAAAGCAACACATTTTTGGCTCTAGCTTGTTTACATGCACGCAAAACTTTCACTGTGAAAATACTGAATTTATGGTGTAAACACTGAATCTGCTGTTTCTGCGGCGAGACTGTGATGAGTAATGCGACATCAGTCACTTGTTTAAAGAGATAAACAACGCCTGCACCGCTGCTGCGTTTTCCTGCGGTTGCATCACTGGCTCCTGGCGTCTCGTCCGTTTACAGGCTTCGAGCACAGAAAGCCAGCGTGCGAGGGCGCCACAGAGAAACCAATGAGGCTGCTTTAGCTTCAGCAGAGCACGCGTGGCTTAGTCGAATGCATGTAAACATAGCTAGTGATGAATTCACGAGGGCTGTTGGCGGTCAGTGCAAATCCGAAGGAATGTAATGATGCTATGGCACTTGTTGCAGATCGACAGCCGATAAGAGACAGACAGGCAGACAGACAGGGCGGGTTCGTGGTCAGCATTCAGTAGTTTAGCATCAGGAGGGCTTACGGCGGACTTGGCCTGCACCTTATCCTTCAAAAGTTCAGAGGATCCTCACAGAGGCGAGGAGGACACGATCCAAGTGGAGGGTGGGTTGAGCACCTTCTCACCGGGCTGTGGTTTAGAAGGAGGGGCAAGACGCGCCCTCTTTCCAGTTCCAAGTCACCTCAGCGAGACTGTAAAAAAACAGAGCAGCAGGAGCCAAGAGGAGGAGGAGGAGGATGATGATCTTGGGGGAGGATGACTGGGAGCATAAAGAAGCCTTTCTTTTATCGTCGTCTGGTCATCCTTTGTCAGGTTTGGTTGTGCATTCAGGTAGCTCCTCATTTGCTCGTCACCTGAGAGGAAGAGAGAAAGGTGCAGTTAGAGCCTGGCCGCACCACGGGGAGGTCGAAAGCTCCCGGGCCATCTGGTACGACCCTTCACACCAGGACCAGCCTATGACCTAAATATGCCAGCGCTTTACGCTTTGTCTAACGCAGATCCTCCCCAGTCTGAAAGCTATAAGCCACAGCAACACGCGGCCGCTGCTTCTCCAGATGGAGCCGTATATTCGATGTTGATGGTGCCTCGGTTTCTATGTCAAACATGCCATCGGGCATACGCAAAGATTAATGAGGGAGGGGTTTGTTGAGGGTAAAACACGGTCATAACACGAGGCGATTAAATGATGAAGTGATTGAACGAAGAGGCCGGTGTGACAATCTAACTTCTAGCTGCTGATACAAACACAAACAAAGCTAATGCGTGGAGAAGGCGTGGCACCAGAGGGGGGACTTCACACCAGCTGGAGATTAGACCTTTAAGCTTTCACGGTGCCACTTGTGATCCCTTCAGATTGGATGAGTGAGGGATGGCAGAGTGTCCCGCTGTTTGTTGTGGTCATTTACGTTGCCCTGGACGCTCCAGTGCACATGCTAATGCTGCTACAATGGGATTACTGCGAGAGAGCTGAGCACAGTGATTTTCTGAGCGTCTCTCAGTGAAACACACACAGGTGTATATAGTGCACATGTAGACACCCGCACTGAGAGCAGCTGGGGTAATTAGCATAAACAAGAGGATTAAGGGATTTCTGGTTTGCATATGCAGATCCAGTCCTCTCTGGGCTGAAGCATTTTTCTCCGTTATTAGTTCCAGTTGTTGCTGTAAACGCTGAATTGTTTATGAGACAGACTTGAAATTAAAATACCCAAACGCTAGTGTGATGGAGAGATAATTAGAGTTGTGAATGCTTTGATATTTGTGGGACTGGCCTGCCTCCTCGCAGCTTTACAATTACTGTGCTGGCTTCTGCAGCAAAGTGGAGCACTGAGTGATTTGGCAAGCAAACAAAGACTAATCAAACCAACATGCAGCAGTTTTTGGAAGCAAAAACATGTC